TTTTCATGGATTTTGCATTTTTTCAAAACCACAAAAATACAATCCGAGAAAATTGATTTAATATGGTTCAAGATGGCAGAAAAGTAGAAAACCACAAAAATTAAAGCCACAAAATTGATTTTTGAATGGATCCGCAAAATATTTGGGCCACAAAATTTCCGGCTACACATTATCATTCATAAATGGAGTAAAATGATTATTAGAGTTCAGTAAACTAAATCAATAAATGAATGACAGACAACCAGACTACCTAGTCCCTCACCCACACAAAACATTAATTGGTGAGGGACGTTAATCAATAAATTTAATTAGACCATGTAGACAAATTATTAATAGGTGGAGTAGGAAGCATCCATGCTTGAAGGCTTCATTTTGAATTTTGTATTTTTACTTTTATGTAGCTGATGTAACTCAAAATTAGTTAGTCAAATCAACTGTCTCTTCATACAATGATGGCTCATGCTCACTCCTTCAATGTTTACATGCACCTACTTAATATGCAAATGGTAAAAAAATAATAATTGAAAAATATGTCATCACAAGCAGAGTATAGATTGTTAATATATGTATTAATTAATAAATACTTACTTGTTGATAAATTTAATAAATTCTGTTCATTAGTACGAATACAACCATTAACTATCTGAATATACTGATACTGTGATTGGTATGTAGTGGGTGTAGAACCATTCCCTCCTATCATAAATAGGTATTCTGTACCCATAGACTCCATACACACCATACCACCTTCCGATCTCTTCATTACAGCATCACTGGTTGGTATTATATTACTCCATTCATATGTCAGACTGTTAAATGAGTTCACATCATTATGAAAGCAGAGGTCATGTCCACAGTCACCGCCGAAAAAGAAGATTTCATTGTTTCTGGTAGTACAGAAGTATCCTACAGCTCCTAGAGGAGGTGACGTTCCTCTGGTCACGTGAGAGGACCAATGACCAGTCCTAAACTCCAGTCTATTAATGGTGGACAACAATTTCCTCTTTTGTGGGGAATCATGAACTCTAGGTAAGTCAGGCCTACCCCCTCCCCACAGGAACATTGATTCTCCTACTACAGGAGCTGAGTGATTTGATATCCCTCCCAGTTGATAGATACCTGTAAAATACAAACATGATGAGAAAGAGGAGGAAGAAAACAGAAACTCACCTTTAGACATTGTTGGTGAAGAATGTTAATTAACCACCCACACCCATATTATAACAATATTCATTACTCATAATCACCCACACCCACATCACTGCCAACATTATAACAATAAGTACAGTAATTATTAGTTGGTTGTATGTCAAGGAATACATCAGGTTAAAACATGTCTTCTTTGCTTGCTGATGAGGTGATGGTCCTGCTATTGAATGCGTTGGAATATATTCTTCTTAGTGAGTTAGTGGTGAGTCCAATTAATAATAATTGGTAGTTGGTACTCTCTTGGTGATTATGATAAAAGGTACTTGAGCTAGTACTTACAAGAAATGTACTCACAAACTAACCCTCAGGTAAAATCAAAAGAATTCAAGTTGTATTATTAATTTATTATTATTAATGTTAATGCATTATAGCAAACATGACAAACATTATCTCAACTGGAATTATTAGAGATTTGATATTACATGAGAGTTTTGTAGTCAGTTCTTGTAACAAAGAGAGTAAACTCAAGTGTAGATTGCATTATTCATTACAAGTCAAATATCACCTACTAGAGACAACAATAAATAAAATAATGAGAATTGCTTTTTATACTATAGTAAACTCATCAAACTATACCTCATAGTATAACTTCATACACTGTAGCCTTCTTGTCTCCAGATCCAGTAACAATAAAACGATCGTCAACTGATATGTCACAGCTTAAAACACTACTGCTTTCAGACATCTGTATGTATAGGATACAATCATTATTTCATTGTACATTAGTGTATAATTATAAATAAGACTACACACACACATAATAATAGTAACAATTACAAATACCACTGTACAGTTAATGTTAATGATAATGGACTATGTACCTGGAATATACTAGCATCATAAGGTACTAACACTATTGATATACATGTATCAACTACTGTATTTAGCACATGATACCGTACTATTTTTTATACCTTATAGTGAAAAACTGTAAATTTCGCTGATTTGGCAATTTTTTAAACATTCACAGAAATTACTTCAGCAAAAATCATGGTACAAGATGGCAGACGGCATAAATGTACAAAAATTAAATTCAAAAAATAGATTTTCAGGCAAATTCGCAAAATTTATAGCTCTGAAAATTTTGCGCTATACGGTATGATACACATGTACATGTACACACATGTATACAATTTATGTTACCTGCTACACGTTTGATCTTCCTGTGGTATTGAGTCCAAGCCCTATACATGTACATGTACATGAATGTGTAAATAAGTTATCATGTGAGTATCATGTATTGTCTATTATGGGATAATGGTACAAACCTCATGTTTTTTCTTTTCCAGCTAGTTCCAGGTGGACGTGATTGGTGCTGGTTTAGTATTGGATCCAGTGGCAATGTACTAGCATAGGAATTAATACACCTAATGGAAATAAAATAAATAATAATAATGTAGCTGCTACATGTAAAAGTCATTGAACATTCTCAAAATAAAGCAAAATGGTAGATTTATTTGGTGGTTGCTCACTAGTACACTATCAATTCACATAGTGCTAGCTCTCTCTGCCAATACTTCAGCATGTACACATACATGTACATGTACATGTACAAATGTACATCAAACCAAACTCTCCCATACCTCTTGACATGTCTTTGACTCAATCAGTTCAGCCGTTGAGCAATAATTGTGACAATAAATAGGCCTCAACATACGAAACAAGATAATCTCTTGACCGTTCCATCCATCAGACACAACCAGCCGCCCACGCTATAGAGTATGGAGGAGACTTGTGTGCTTCAAAGTAGAAGAGATTGTGGACGTTCTGCTGGAGGAGAGCTAAAGGAAGGGCCAGTATTGTGGTCAAGACTCATTTATTGATTGCACGGTGGCTTCTTAGGTAATAATAATGTGTAGCATAGTCATAGGTTACATACTTAGTCTCTATATCTTCTATTGTGAAACTATTCCTCATTGCCTCCATGCTAGGGAATGGTCTGTCTGAGGTATATACATTTATAGAATATTTTAAAGAATAGAATTATTGAAGAAGCACGTACACTGCACAGGTAATGGACTGTGGACAAATCTTATATTTACATTTTAATCGCAGTGAGAGAGAGAAGTTTATGAACCCCAATTGATTGTTAATAATTTTATAGGCAGATCTATGTGTAGTATTGGTCAGTTCAAGGTACTGCATTCAATTGGCTTGTGAGAGTATTTTGTGTACTCACGTGACCTCTTTAGCTCTCTCACTTCTCTCTTTTATAGTGCCGGTGTTGTTGAGAGCTTATGGAGAAAATCTTTTCATTTATGACAGTGCACTGCACAATAGGATAAATCAGGTTTGACCTTAACTGTAAGTTGTACAAAGGAGCCTACATGTACATGTACCACTGTAGCCACCTTAAAAAGAATTAGGACATTTTTATAATGAACCATGATAAAAGTCCCTATAGTATACCAGTAAATGTGTCTACTTGTACTTGTATGCATACTGCAACGAATATGATTAAGTACAACTCACAATAGACTTTTATTTTGCTTTATAAAGACACAGCGTTATTCTCTCTTTCTTTAGTCGCTATTATAATTAGAGGAGAGTGAAAACTATGATGGGACCTGTGTTTGAACTGGAAGATGTTATTCCTCTTCTGGTTAAACTGACCTGCTCCTCTTTGATGTCTCATTTCAAGGAGGATGCCAACCATCTTTGTAATTTTACACAATTTTATTAATTTTTATTATAATTTTTGTTTGTCTACATTTTGCAATGTTAATTCATAGATACTAAGCTGCTACAGTAAGGTGGGTAATTCTAAGGTGAATAATTCTTGTAGTCTCTTGTATTAACTTGTTCATAAGTGATTTAGTTGAGTGTAATTATTAATGCATTCTTATTTCACCAATACATATGCTTATTTTCATATTGTGTAGAAAGTTTGAGTAGATTCTAATCACAATTGGATTTTTTGTGAGTTTTTAAACATAGATAAACTATGTTTAAAACCACCATACCAATGCATTGTCCGCGCCGCGTAAATCTAATAACTAGCCACGCCTTTGGGTTGAACTCACGTGATCTAGTGGAAGTTTTGACCAAATTTGGTCAAACTAAAAACTGCTGACTAACTGTGGGTGGAGCAATAGATTTGACCAATCAGATTTGCGCGGTAAGGTCCTTTCCCGGGAGAGCTCCAGCAGCTATAAAAAGAGCTGCCCTTCCTTCCTCTTCCGGTCATTTCTGCCTTTTCTTTTGGCGCCAAAAGATCAGTCTTCAAGACCTCCTTCTCCTTAATCAAGAGACACTGCTGCAGTTAGTCATGGCCACAGTCTCCTTCTCTCTCTCTCTCTCCTCTGTCTCTTTCAATCACTCCTCCATTTATATTTTCTTTCTTTACAGGTTAAAAACAGTTGACTCAGTTTCTTCTCTAAAAGCTCATGGCTAGTTGTGACCTTTTCCTTCAATGGCTGCTATGGTTAGTCATGGCCACTCTATTTCAAATACTTCTTTATTTATATTTTTCATTTCTCAGTTTACAGGTTACTAGCAGTTGGCCCTTCTTTTTTATACCCAGCAGCAATCCTGAGGCTTATTCACTTCTCTTGGCAGTTTTTCTCTTTTCCAAAAGGTCATGAAGGATTGTGACCTCTTTCTTCAATGGCTGCTACACCTGCTATGGTTAGCCATGTTACCATCTCCCTGTCTCTCTCACTTCTTTTTCTCTACCATTTTCTTTATTATTTTTTAAATTTTTGTCACTTATTTTTCTTCTTTTTACAGGATCCTGTGCTTTAAAGCTACCACGTGCTTTTTAAAGTTCCCGCCAGTTTTCCTGAGGCCACGCCCACCCAATGATTGGTCTAATTAATTGGGAACAATGGCTATAATAGCAAGTGAGGATTTTGCTTCATTTAAGACTGAGCCTGTGAGCCATGTATCTTAACATGATGCTGTGTACATGTAGTTATTATAGCAGCCATTAGTTATTATAGCCTCTTGTTTCTCATTAGTTGTTGTTGTTTACCATTAGTTGTTGTTATAGTCTCTTGTTGTTGTTACTGTGTAGCCTCTTGTTTGCCTTTTTTTCTATTATAGTTGTTGCTTGTTGTACATGCAGTTGCTATAGCACTACTCCCTATTGTTATTTGTTATGATAGTGTATACTGCTCATGTTAACTTGTTTTCTTTTTATTTAATTTTAGGAGCTGTACAAGGTCATGTTTTAAGTCGTCGGAAAGACTCGTACGTTCCCGTCAAGCCGTTGAAGTCTGGATCAGTTGACATCTCATGACAAAGGATTCATGGAGGAATTCACTCCAGGATATATTGCAGGATGGATTCTCATGGATCAATCAGCAAGTCAATAGTTGTAATACTAGCTGGGCTGGCCGACCAGACCTGGCTAGTAACGCACTCATACAATCCTTGCATGTCATTATATGTATGTCCCCATTTGCATGTGTATAATACCATTAGGGAGGGGCTTGATACACGAAACATTGCGTGAATGTTCTAATGTAAAGAACCCTGTAGTGTAGGTACACTCCCCGTTCCTACCACCATGCCTGATATGCTTGTTCTAGTAGTCCCGTCATACACTAGGCAGTATGTTTCTGGTAATATTGGTGAGGGAGATCCTGTCAAGAATGGAAAGCTGGTGCATAATTGATTGCAGTAACACGTTAGTGGGTGGGTGTGTGTGGGTTTGTACCCAACCCACATACACACCCTCATTAGTGTGTCCAGCTTTTCATTCTTGACAGGATCTTGCTCACGAGGTAATATTACTTGAGATATGTTGACTGGTGTGTGCTGGGATGTAGGAATTCCAATCATGTATTGCTAATATAGTGTATGTATGTGTGTGTCAGGCATGGTCAACAGTTAGTCAAAACTGACTGCTGTTTGCAGCGTTCAAAAGAGGTCAGGTAGCTGCCAAAATACAGCATGCCTTCTTGTTGCTGTAGGTAAGAATGGTACACAAATTTAATAAAATGAGCCTCAAGATAATAGCTTAATCGTCAACTACAACCTTCTCCTTAATATTATAAAAACAAGGGTTAGTATTGTCTCTATCTCTTCTCCTCCTTTTCTATCTTTTCTTTATTCCTCTTTTCTTAATTCCCCTCTTATTTCTAATACTCCAATGCTACCTTTCCTCATTCTTAATGCATTATGTTATGACTAGTTTTTTAAATGAAATTGAGTTGAGAGAAATGGATGCTTAAATTAGTACAAGTATTTTGTTCAAATTACTGTACATGTAAAAAACTAAGAATATGTTATAAAAACATGTAAAATATTGTCAAATTGTACATGTAAAGCTAAAATTGTATTACAAATGCATGTAAAGTTTTATTGTCAAATTGTACATGTAAAACTAAAAATATATTGACTAATATTTTGGAGAGAAAGAGAGAATGGGGAGGAAAGCAGAGATTTGAGAGACGTCAACTTCATTTTAAGATCATTCTTTTTAAGGATGTAACGTTCGTGATGGAATAATTTCATCTTTTGCTACATTTTCTTGTGTCACATGAGCTTATGGAGAACATTCTGGAGCTAATACCTTTATACTACTATACCAGCTACACCAGGAGTTGCTATAAAACTAATGGAGAAGAACGGCTGATATGGAAATCATCTTCAACTTGACTTCTTTTGAGAGAAAGAGAATTTTTTAGAGGGAAAAAGATTCTTTTTTTAGAGAGAAAGAGAGGGAGGTATTTTAACAAACTAGGAATAAAATGTATTTGTAATTAGCCTATGTATACATGTAACTAAAAAGTCAATTCAGCTTCTACTTAAATGTAACACTACGAGACAAACAAATAATTTTTAATAATTCTGATCTACTTTTTTGAGAGATAGAGGTTCTTTTTAGAGAGAAAGAG